TATTTTTAACTGAATTAGGTGAACTTGCTTTTGTTATTCCTCAGGCTACGGGGAACATTAACAGACAAGTAGCTCCTAGCGCCATCATACGGCAGGGCTGCGCAGCTCCAACAACACTGGCTGCCACCACAACGCTCCACAGACCACCCATTCTCCAGGTAACACTGTAATGTTCTTAGCTTTAACTAATAATTGTCTTATACTTGCTGTGCAATAAAACTTAGCCATGTTGTCATTAAATTTGTACAGATCTGAAGCAAATTGGTCTTAAGTACAACATATTATAATATCTTATAAGAATAGTATACAATACAAAAGTTTATCATACATTTTAACAATTTAATTGTCGATGACCTGTGATTATCTCCTAATATTTTTTCAAAATAAACTATCTTTTTCTAGAGCTCTGTGGGGGTTTCTCCAGGACTAACTCCCCGGACTGTAACCCAAACAGCTGGGAGCACTGTTACTACAACAACAGTCAGCAAAGTGAGTTATGCTTGATCCAAGACACAACATATGACTGTTTATATGGCACATTTTAAAAGAAGCTGAAGCATGCTGCCATTTATTTTTTGTTGTTGTTTTGACAGGAGACAATGGAGAATGTGAAAAAATGTAAGAACTTCCTGGCTACGTTAATAAAACTGGCGTCCACTGGGAAGCAATCGACAGAAGCGGCACCCATCGTGAGGGAGCTGGTCAAAGACCTGCTGGTTAGTGAGGTTTTGTGTATATACAACACTAAGGTGAATAAAAGAGGAAAATCAACCAACCGAGAGATAAGCTCTTTGTTAACGGCCAATAATTGAAAAAAACTATCCGGACACAGCAGTCATTAAATTAATTGTTAATTTGTAAATACTTCCACTTCTGTTTGGCTTCACTCTGCCAAGTTTGGACAGCACGGTCCAAACAGTGGTTCCCAACGTTTTTTGGCTTGTGACCTCATTTTGACATCACACATTTCTGACGACCCCCAGAGACTTCTTTTTTCAGTCACATGTTTGCAGTCGTCAATAAAGATGCGCAAGCTCAGATATTTTTAAATACTGCATTTTATTTGAACCTGATTTATATTTATGAAAGTGAAGGAACACAATTTAAGATTGTGTTTGGTGATTCAGGCAATCCCATTTGAATTCCAGGTGATCCCATGTGGGGTTGCGACCCCAAGGTTGAAACATTCTGGTCTGTATTCACTTACAGTATATTGCATGCTAAAATTTCCATTAGTTTCTTTAAACTGAAGATGCAATTCATAAAATACGCACCTGGAGGTGTTGTGGGACACAGATGAATTAATTATGTTTTATTAATAAATCTCTCCTGCAGGATGCAGTGATAGCTTCCATCAATGAACTTTGAATGCTGATTTAACACTTGTAGAAATCCCATCCATTCTTTTTAGCTACCAACACCAAGTGCAGAATCTGTGAGGGTCCCTGCTGACAGGCAATGGTACTGCAACCTAAACTGCATTTCTAAAGACCACAGAGGATTTCCAACTCTGACCATTGAACTGTGACTACAAGTGATTACAAGCAATACTTTCAGAATAGATATAAATTCCATTTTAAACAGTCACACTTTAAAAGTGTCCAGATGTAAAATAAGCTTCTTCAGGACTGAAGTCGAGAACCTAGTGAAGTTAGGTCTGTTAGTTATATCTGCCAATTGTATAGCCATGATCCCAGTCATGCTTTTGTGTTGTATTAGGAGGGGAAACTGGAGGCTGAGGAATTCACCAGCAGATTGTACAAAGAGCTCAAATCTTCACCACAACCTTACCTTGTGCCTTTCCTCAAGGTGAGAAAACCTTTCACGTCTTGTTATTGTGAGTAATGTATTTTTCAGCCAGTATCAGATCAGTATAGTTACTCTGTTTGTTCTCTGTAGAGAAGCCTTCCAGCCTTGAGGCAACTCACACCAGACTCTGCAGCGTTCATCCAGCAGAGTCAAGCCCCTCAGACAACTGCAAGCCCTGTCTCCTCTCCTTCACTGACCCCGGCCACGGTGACCACAGTTGTTCTGAGCAGCCCTGCTCCTCGGCTCACCACCCCAATCAGCAGGCCTCAGCTACAGCCAGGCATCAGCAAACCAGGACTGACCCCCACAATGGTACACTGAATAAAATAATTCAACAAACAAGTCTAAGAAGCTTTTATTATGATAGGATGAGAAATAAGACGATCTGAAACCTCTACAGGTTCTTCAGCCTCAGCAGCAGAGACCAATTCTGCGACCTCAGGTTAATTTCCCAACACCTTCAACCCCCATGGTGACGCTCAGGAACCAGGCACCCAGTCGCATTATGTTGGGACATCAGCAGGTCCAGCTTAAGGAGCTGCAACCAGGTGGGGATGTGAAACTTCACTATGTTCAGATTCCCAACCACATCACTCAGTTCCTCAATTCAGATTAGATAGAGAGCAGATTTGATATTTGTTGTATAGCTGTTGTTATTCATGTAGCATGACTAAATATTAACTACATTTGAATGTAGGTTATTCTGTGTACAGTATTAAACAATCACTATGTAGCAGCAGAAAAAAAACATGTAATGTGAATATTAAGCAATTGTTTTTATTTTTCCCCATCAGTCACTACGAGGCCAGAGTTACCATCACAAGTCCCTGCAGCAGCCTTGACTCCAGCAAACAAAAACAAGCTGAAAGAGGCCGGGGGCACTTTTAAGTGAGAACCAACACCACACCATTCAAATATCAGTTTAAGATCAATTTAATATACAAGTGGTCATTCTAAAGCCATTGCATGTGGATGATACCAACAAAAGGCCTCTGTTTCAGAAACTGTAACTTCACAAACAAGAAGCTATCACATAAAGGATGATGACTTTATCACACTGTTGTAGTTTCTAAAGTACATCTGGCCTGTTTGCAAATTATTAATCAAACAACTATTGACTTGTATTTTTTTTTTATTTACTTTAACATTCACAGGGATGATGATGACATCAATGACGTAGCCTCTATGGCAGGAGTGAACTTATCAGAGGAGAGCGCAAATATCCTGGCCACCAATTCTGGACTAGTAGGAGTGGTGACACATTCCTGTAAAGATGAAGCTTTCCTGTCCTGTGCCCTCCTACAAAGAAGGATGTTGGAGATAGGTGAGGAACTTTAGACATTTACTACAAAGGATTCTGAAGTTGTTCCATTAAATATTATGTCATAAATTATCAACAAATTCAAAGTCAGAGAGTACTCTCCCTTTCAGGGAGGAGACATGGTGTGACGGACCTGGGCGCAGACGTTGTGAATTTTGTCTCCCATGCTGCTCAGCAGCGTCTCCAAAACCTGCTAGAGAATGTTTCCCAAGTGGCTCAGCAGAAAAATGTCAGCTTCAAGGTTTGTCAACAGCTGCAGCATTTGCTAAAGTTAGATAACACAAACAAATTAGTTATGCATCGTTCATGCACTTCTCTCAGATTTCTTATTTATCTCATTACATTCTTAAACATTTTTAACTATGGTAACTTGATTGCCTTCAAATTTCAGTGCCAGAAAATCTGATGTTTGGTAATTAGCTGGAATCTTTATTTAAGAAAAAAAAACAAGTTAACATTTTTGTTTGCAAAAGGACTAAAAAAGTGTAACCTATTGTGTAAAATTTATTTTACTAGTCTGTTTAATAATATAAACTCAATAGTTAGTAATTTAATCTAATTATCGTTCTTCTCTTAATACTACATAAGTTTTATTGTGTTGACATGAATAGATTTTAATGAATCTTTTTTTGTTTTTGTTTTTTTTTTTTCATTTTTACAAATGTATACTTTCTTGAAACTAGTGTTCTTTATTATATTTTTTGTGTCATTCACTAGTATTTCCTCCTCTCTCTCTCTCGTTACAGGAGGATCACAACTGTGAGCAGAGCAGCGATGTCCGTGCTCAGCTCAAGTTCTTTGAGCAGCTTGACCAGTTAGAGAAACAGAGGAAAGAGGAGCAGGAGAGGGAGATCCTCCTGAAGGCAGCTAAGGTATAAACCACAAGCATCCAAACCATTTATCCACAGGTCATTGTCAAAAGTCACACAGAATTTCCATTGTAACAAAAAGCAGAAACTTTGAACTCAGATGACAGGCCTGAAGTCGACTCAGAAAGCACATTTGTAACTGTAGAGAGCAGTGAAATTTGTTTAAATTTTGCTGCACAAACAAAATACCAAAAAACGAAACGTATTTGACAAGTTCACAGAATTTAAACAGCCGTAACAATTCTTAAGGATGCGGTTTGTCATGCTATTTTTAAACCCTCATTGCCTCATTACTTCCTATAGTGCTTTTATTTTGAGAAAATAAGCAGAAATTCTAACCTCTGTTCTTACCATAGAGTGTTGTTTTTGATTTTTTAATGCCTTTAAGTTTTTCTCTTGGTTATTATTGTAAAGTAAGCCCCCGGTGTTCTTTAAAACTGTGCGTAAACTGCTTTAACAAATGGACCTGATGATACATCATTGAGCAGTGGTTGGAAGTTTGTATCTTTAACTTCAATTCCTGTTCATTTAACATTAAAGAAGGACAATCAGCACTTCATTAGTTCATTCTGTGAGGCTCATCAAAGTGAAAATAACTATTTTGGAAATAGAATACAAAAATCACAATGTGCAGTTCAGTTATTAATGTAACCCGTATCTGGCTCTTCAGTCCCGAGCTCGGCAGGAAGACCCTGAGCAGCTGCGTCTGAAACAGAAGGCAAAAGAGGTAAGATGACAGGAGGAGTCTCCAGGTCTCAGCTTCTGTACAATGAACTCTTGGGCATTTGTAAACCCTATGTTTTTAAATGCTCATTGTCCAGATGCAGCAGCAGGAGCTGGCTCAGATGAGACAGAGGGAGGCCAACCTGACTGCACTGGCAGCCATTGGCCCCAGGAAGAAGAGGAAATTGTTGGATTCTCCTTCCTCCTCTGCTGTAGCCGAGGTAACCCCACTGACACTCACATCCTGGTTCGTCTTCCACTGTGTAGAGAACACCATGTTCCATGACCTAATTAGACGCAAGATAATCTGGGACTAGAGAGACAATTATGACTGACATTTCAATAAAGACTATGAAGGTTATGTAGGTGTTGGCTTAAGTGGCAGTAATCACATGATCATATAAATCTAGTTTTGTAGTATCAAATGTATAATAGTAACAGCTAATGCTAACAGTTATCATCAGAAACTTCTGTTTACCCTGACAAAGACCTGCTGTCTGTCACAAAACAAACAAGTGAAATGGTTTATTAGTGCAGACAGTTTTGAACTCGTGTTTGTGGGCCGTCACATGACAGATGACTAAACAAAACCAGGCGTATCCCATCAGAGATGTGATGTGATTGTAGTGTATAGCATTACGTCCTGCCTTGGCTTTAATCCTTTTGCATACTGATACACATGCAAACAGTTACCTGTTCCCTTTTTTCTTGTTTTTCATTTAAGGTTATATTTAAAAAAATAAGAAAGATGTTTCAGTCAGGAAGTGGAAAGAGACAGAAGAAGAAATAAAGAGGAAAGAGACAGAGACAGAAGAAGAAATAAAGAGGAAACAGTGGCGAGAGAGAGAAACAAAGTGTGAACCGGAATTTTACACAGTTTCAAAGATCTATGTTGAGGTCGAAGAATTGGTGGATTAACACATTGGAATCAGGTCGTCTGTTGTTAACATGGATGGAGTTGTTTCTTGTTGCTGAGATAAAGATTATCTCTTTTGTATGGGAAGAGTTTTGGTGGCGCTTCAGAAGGCAGGAAAACATTAACGCCACATAAACTTACACCACAACGACACCTACAGGCTAATACTGTAATAATAAAGTCACATGCTACTATGTGCAACTGTTGCAAGTTTAAAGCATTGTTGATACACTAACAATGACTAAGCTTGATGATACATTCATTCCGCAAAATCTTTCAGACAGCAGAGTTTCAAGCCGGTAGTGGTTTAGATGGCAGTGTATCATCAGGTTAATAGAGGCGTGTTTCATCCAACACCATCATTTGTCATTATGCTCGACTTAATATCTTATTATTCTTAGCCAGGTTTTTTTTTTTGGACTTCATTTACTTTGAGCTTCAAAACTTTGAGCATACACCTGGAACACACTTAGTGGTCCAAGGTCCCAGCCTTCTACATTCAACCCTCGGCACGTCTAACAGGATTAACAGTAGCGATACAACACCATATGTATCAGCACAAAGCTCCTAACGATAAGGATGATAATTTGAAAAGTTTTAATTCATGTTAAACTGGGCACTTTCCACCCACTCTTGCCCTCCCACCCCCCACCCTCCACCACCTCACAGGGATCAGGAACAGGTTCCTCTTCATCCGTCGGAACTGGTTCGTCTGCTTCCAGACCCACACGGCAGCGCATCACTCGCGTCAATCTCAGGGACCTCCTCTTCTGTTTGGAGAATGAGAGATTTACCAGTAGCTCTCATTTCCTCTACAAGGGCTTCCTCAAATAGGTTTGATGTCAGTGAGGAGCAAGAGTGGGCTCAGCAGCAGCAGCAGCAGCAGGAGCAGACGAAGTATGAGGAGAGGTGAGAGGCAGGGGAGTGAAGAGTGTGGAGAGACCAGCAGCTCCCACCACACAGAGTGCATAAGAGACTCTTCAGTATGAAGAGGAAAAAAGAAGTGACTTGGCTCATTTCAAGGTTTTTCTGATAAAACCTGGTGACCTGAAAAAGCATTAGTAGCTAATTAAGTCTGATACCATGTCTCTCTCGCCTCAAATAACGCCTATTTTCTGTCACAGTAGTGGTGGATTGACGGCCCTTTATCAGCTCTCGCTGAGGTATTTTTACAAAAAAATTATATAAAAGGGGGTTTTTGTATGAAGAAATGGATTTTACCACCACAAACTTCTGCACAGTAACGTTTATTTTCTGATCGTTTATATGTGCGGCAAACTGTAAAGCAGTGGAAAAAAATCATCTTTTATTAGACCACCGACTAATTTTTATTGTCTTTGTTCAGTTGTTGACTAAAATAGTTTGAGCTCCAAACTGTATAACCTACTGAGTTGCCTTCCTAAATCTTAAGCCATATAGTCACCCTGACACAAAAATCCCTGCTGTATCTATAGCAGTAGCGCTCTCTCTATCTCTATCTCTCTCTCTCTCGCTCGCTTTCTCTGCCTCTTTCTCTCTCTCTGTCTGTCATCTTCTGTACTTTTGATTTTTCTCTTTTTGGCATATTTATTCACTAAACTCAGTTTTAAATTAATGTTTAGTTATTTATTTAATTTCCTGTGACACCTGAAGTGGTCTATGTAGCTTAATTTTTAAAAAAGAGATTTTGTGGAGTGTATAATTTTTACTTTTTTTTGCCAGAGGTGTGGTCTTTTTTTTGTTAAATCTGAGTTTTCAAGTAAGTCTGACATTTATTCTTTTCTAAACTTTCAGTGGGTTTCTTTAGGCTCTACTGTTATACCAAACATACATCTACCTGAAAGTGATTCTATTTTTGTAGAAGCCCCACCAACACATATTTCTACTCTTGTAATAGTGACTGACATTATCCTCAAATCATTTCCTTAACTTCTTCTATTTTTGTGTGCTACTGGATGCCACCGTAGGTTTTTAGTACCTACGACCCAAGAAACTTGAGTTTCTTCATGTATATTTGTAAATGTTACAGCAAAGATTTTACACAAGGTTTTGTATAGAATTCAGAATATACCCACATTATACGGGGAAAAAATCTCTATGAAAGTTTGAATAAATAATGATTTTACAGTACATTTGTGATCGCTCTGGGGTTTTTGCACTCACTAGGGGGCAGCATTGCATTGTTATAACGTGGCGGCGTATGAGATGATGTGTTGTGAAAATTGGTTCCAGTAGGTGGCAGTAATACAAATATAGGCTTGACACCTTGTTATTTAAACTTTTTTTAAAAAATTTATTTTTGTAATTTTTAAATTTAAATAATACATGTTGTTTAGGTAATTCTATCCAGTGAGAAGAGGAAACGGACTATTTCCGTCTATCACAAACATGTTACGATGCAATCTTCGTTTTCGGTGACTCATCACGAGCTTCTAGAATACGCATTACCAACCTAACTAGATGGATCTGTGGCACTTTACCAGCTGCATGAGCTCACTGCAAACACTAGATACAGGTATTTGATATTGTTGAGATTAGACTCTAAACAAGCGTGAACAACCTATGGAAGCAGGCAGTGTTGAAGAGCAGCATTCAGGTTTATTGAACTTATCGCAAATAGTCACTAGATGGCAGTAGAACATTTTGCATTTTTGTTACAGTCTCGTCAGACAGCGTTAAAATGCAGCAGTTCCTTAGTTTCCAGAGCAGCTTACAAAATAACGTTCTGATTGATTGGTTTGGTGTCGCGAAATAGTTGTAATGAATAATTATCTTTAGTTTTCATTCTCTATCAGTTTTTACTTTTCTAAAAGCCCTTAACTATCGATGTGTTTGGACTGTGTATGTATTGGTTTTCACGTGCAGAGGAGAGTCGTGCACCGTGAGACAAACTTTCCAGCTCAATGTATGGAGAGAACTAGAAAGATACATCGATATCTGTTCCACTTCTTTATAAGTTCAGGAGGTCTTCTGCCTCAAAATGGTTAAAAACATCATAAGCAACATTTAGGGATGGAGTAGATGACATTGTTAATGCCAGAGCAGACATAGCCTGACAGTGTGAGACAGCACCTCCGTGTGATGGCAGTAGTGATGCAGGTAAACGCATCGTTCCTTCTTCCTTATTCCAATGACATCACACAGTCGGTGTGTGCTTATCTAGCCTCACTTTAGCATCTGCTCCCACTAGAGTCTCAGATACAGTATGTGTTATCACAGTCAGACTCTGTATACTATATAAATGTACTGCATCTTTAAAGTAGCTTGGTCACAGGGTTCAGGAGACGTTCACACATCCACTCAGTGCTGTTTCACCCCTGGGCTCTATGGGGACTTTTTTTTCTGCATTGCAAACGTGTACAAATCGGCAGCACACATGAAGAGAAATGTGTTAAAAGCTTCCAATCAGGATTTCCTTTTTAAAGGAAAGTTTTCCTTTTGTAGTAAAATACTTCGAACACTATTTAAAAGACCAGTACTAGTACTGCTCAGTTGTTTGTGCAGTTAAAGCTGAGACGATGCTCTCCATTTGGAGAAGTAACTTGATGAATGGATTCAGATTCAGAACTTTATTGTCACTAATGTGAGATTTGTTTTGCAGTTAGTCGTGGAAACATTTACGACGTAAAACACATAAAAGGCAAACAGCGAACACACAAGAACACAACCAAACATGATTAGGAGCAGTCAAGTGAAGTGGAATTAATCACGCAAGTAAACTAAGTGCAATTATGTAATAATAATCATGCAAATAAATCGCAATTAATTGCACATGCTGTGAAAGAGAGGCCTGGTTGTAGGTACTCTGTATTTTTTGCCTTGAAGGTAGAGTAGGGGTGTCTCAGAGAAGTGGACGGTCTTGTTTGTCTTGTATTTGTTATTCACTTTCTGACAAACTGACTTTATAAAGCAGTTAAAGTGTCTTTACACAGAGCCAAAACAAAACATCTCTGATAATACATTTTTAATGAGGCAAGTCGACAAAGAAAAATTGTTTGTCATTGTTTTTCAACAAAGTCAACAAGTCAACAAAGAAAAATTGTTTGTCATTGTTTTTAGAAACATTTTTTTTTCTAGGCCAGCCAAAAAAAATTTAAATTTTTTTTAGAAACATTTTTTTTGGACACAAGGAAAAAAAAAATTTTTTAAGTATCTTGGGGTCTTGTTCACGAGTGACGGTAGGATGGAGTGTGAGATTGACAGGCGGATAGGTGCAGCGGCCGCAGTAATGTACTAAATTGAATTTTCAATTAAATTTGTTCATAAGGAACGATAAATACTAAAAAAGTGTAAGGAGCAAATCTAGTAAAAAAAAGTAGGTCACACCCACTCTTTATTAAAATGTACTTTTTTTAATTCTCTGGAGCTAAGGAGAGTAATCTTGCAGTGAAGAGTTTGTCACAAAGTTTTAATGTTTGATAAAGAAAAATATATATTTATATATCACTCTCTTGCTTTTGGTCCCTTGCTTGGTTATTTTACCTGTTTTTTATAAGAATAATTTAAAATGTTTTCTTAATTATTAGTATTTTATGTTATCAATATAGTTGTTCGTATCTATGTTTTTGATGTTTAGATGGTGGGGAAAAAATAATATATTATATTTCTGGGGACCTATTCATTGTTTTTTTGTTATCTTTAATGGGTAAAATTCGCTCTTGATACGAGTGGATTGAGATATGAGTGCTGTTGTATAACTGATTAAACTCCTATCTAGGAAGTCCACTGTACATCTATTTCGTAAAAACTACTGAGCCATTACTTGTTTATTTTTCACATACCAAGCCTTTGTTGGCTGTTCCTTTCCTGAATAATACTTTTCATATTCAAACTCTATTACTACCACCTATTTTAAGGAACCTCCCGACGACCTTTACGCTCTTACTTTGTCTCTGACATTCCGCCGCCTCTTGGTGTAAATGTTTCGCTTTCCAGACATGTTTGTGGTTAACAAATGGAATACCAACTACACCTGGGATTTGTGCACATGCTGAATTTTTTTGGTTTGTTCCGACATGTGTGTATTGAACGTTTAACCTCTCTGACCTCCTGTATGTGCTGGAGGTCTGCTCAACGCTGCGAAACATTTCACGCTGTCGCTCTTTTTTTTTCTATAAAACCTTTACCGTAACAACAAGCACGGCCAAAAAAATTATCTGTAAGTAGTTGCAGCACAAAAAACAGGCTCTTTGTTGGGCACGGAGAAACAGATGCATCCTGACAATACGTGACAGGATCTCCGTGTGATGGCGGTAGTGATTGAGGTGGAGGCGTCGCCCTTTGTGCCTCGTCCCAATCCAATATTTTCCTTGGTAATCCCTCTCCACTCCTCAACACCACTGCTTTTTCAGAGTTAAGTCCACATAAGCTCCTACTTGAGTGCCGGAGGCAGAGCCCCAACAGGGATGGTGCTGTTGCCTAGCGACTTCTCAGTCACTACACCTGTGGATGTTGGGTAAACACCCCAAGCCTGCCATAGCAAAGAAGTAAATAACATAACTGCACACCAATATGGAACTATTCCTTAATTAGACAACCTTTAAATTTGTTGTATTTAATGCAATCTTTTATTCTTCTCCCAGGGGAGAGTTTAGATTTACTGCTTTGTATATATATACGTCCCTCACATTTTGGTGCTCCTGTCTGCTGCTAAATTTTATTTAATTTTTTTAGATTTTGTTGATCTGATGTTGCTGCTCTGTATGTATAAATAGTTTCTGGCCTAGAAATCATAGCATTTTTATGCCCATGGAGGGGCTGAAGTTTAATGTTGGTTACGGTCCTCTCATGGGTTACGAAATTCTCCACGTTGGGTCTGACCCCCGGCTGCATGAAGGTAAACGACCTCGTAGAGTAGCATTGCTCCGGAAATCGCTAAATTGTAATTTCTTCTAATCCCACCACATTCAAGCTGTGAGACGAATACAACACAAGACGGTTAATTAATTTTATCCCTTTCACCACCTCTTGGCGTCTTGTTGATTAGGCTGGGAGCTTATGAATAAAACTCTCTCACAGGAGGGACATGGGATTGTGATCTGCATGCAGTGATGTGAGCACTGTGTGATGTAGTCACTGTGTTTTTATCATCCTTTAAGATGAAGAGTTCCAGTAGCACTCAACCACTTTTATCCAAAAATGAAAGAGAACACTTCCTCGCCTGTGGCTGCAGAAATGTATCACGGAACGCCAGTGGGTGTGTTTTCACCTCCTCACATCTCAGCTTCTTCCCGTGCCCTTGTTCAACCCAGGTAGATGCTGACTTCAGACTTTTTTGTTATGGGGTTGACCCGGGGCACTCGGCTTTGTCCTGGAGATGCTATAATAAGGCCAGTGTTTACGACTGTGACTGAAATGGGTTTGTAAGTGTGGGTGAACCCGTGAGGTATTGACGTGGGGGTTAACAGCCTGTTGGCCTCTTTAATGGAGCTGAATCAGGCCGAGCTGCAGTCAGTGTCAGCCCACCAGCCCAAAACATCTTCATTTAAAGAGTCATTTTCTGTATTAGGAAGTCAGGGCACATCAATTTGAATATAACACACACGTTGTCCAGATGTGTGCGGGGAAATAGCCATGGCCAATTTGCCTTTAACACAGTGGTTCCCAAAATGAGGGTACTCCCCCAGAACTGGGCAGGGAACATTTTTTTATCTCTCTGTATGGACATTTGTATTTTTTTTTACCTTTTCACCAATGAGAATAAGAGTTTTCTTCTTCCCTGTTTCTTCAATGACAGTAATTTAATTTAAAACAAATTAAAACTCATTCAAAGTTCAGAAACTACTGCTTAACATCTGTGACTTAGTATAAAATATGGGCATTAGTATTATATGACTGCCTGCTGTATGTGGAAAAATCCGTTAAATATTATTCATTTTGATAGCCTTGGGGTTCATTGTATGACCTTTTCTCTGATACATTTTCTTCATCATTACCTACGAAAATATATATAAATATATTTTCTTGTCGCCTAGTTAACGACCATATAAAAACTAGTCATTCAACAATCTACCAAAATGTGTTTTATTGCATTTTAAATATATCCACTAATCTGTATCAGCCTATAAATAGTATTTAAAATGTATTCATAAATCTAAGAACTATAATATCGGTCTCTGATGCTCGCACAA